TTTATGGGGCACCTGGGTGGCTCAGTCGTTAAGCGTCTGCCTTCGGCTCAGGTCATGATCCCAGAGTCCTGGGATCGAGCCCCGCGTTGGGCTCCCTGCTCAGCGGGAAGCCTGCTTCTCCCTCTCTCACTCCCCCTTCTTGTGTTCCCTCTCTCGCTGTGTCTCTCTCTGTCAAATAAATAAATGAAATCCTTAATAAATAAATAAATAAATGTTATTTTATTTTATATATAACCCTCTATGTGCAAATACAAGAGATATTGAAATAACTCCTAGATTGGAGAACTCCTAGATACCAGTGGATATCTTGATCTTGGTAACTCCTACCAAGATGGTGGTAGAGGAGACCCCAGCCTCCATTCCCCTGATGAAGATCAACAATTACACAGCTTTCCACAAACAGAAACAGCTCTGGGAGGCATCTGGAATCCACAGAAGAATTTGCAGCAACACAGTGGGACAAAAAAACTGGAGAAAAAACACAGAAAATGAGAAGGAAGAAGAGCTTCATTTTGCACACACCACCTTGCAACTTGTAAGTTAATGGAGATGACTTTGTTCCTTAAACCTCACGAACCAACCTCTGCCAGCTTCCAACTTGTCCTCTGCAGTTTCCACACCTCTCTCAGCCTTCAGAGAATTGAGGAGAGTCAGGGGCTTGCTCTGGATGAGGCTTTGGCTCAAGAGAATGTTGTGGCTGCTTTGATCTCCCATCCAGACCATTAAACTTTCTCCACATCAGCAATAAGGCTGTTTGTCTTTCTTCTCATCCGTCTGTTCCCCGGAATAGCACTTTTCATTTCCTTCTAGAACTTTCCATTGCATTCACAACTTGGCCAACTGGCACAAGAGGCCCAGCTTTTGGCCTGTCTCTGCTCTCAACATGCCGTCCTCACTAAGCACCATCATTTCTAGCTTTTGATTTAAACTGGGAAATGTGTGCCTCTTCCTTTGGCTTGAACACTGAGAGGCCATAGTGGGGGTATTAATGAGCCCAATTTTGACAACGTTGTGTCTTAGGGATGAGGGATGCCCGAGGAGAGGGAGAGAGATGGGGAGAGGCAGGCCAGTGGAGGGGTCAGAACACACACAACATGTATTGATTAAGTTCACCATCTTACAAGGGCCAGGTTCATTACAATAGTAATGTAGGATTGTAGGGTTTTTGTCTTCCGGAGTGGAAGAATGAATCTCGCCCATATAAAAGGGTGAATGAAGTGAAAGTTTGTTAAGTGAAGGTGAGAGCAGAAAGGACAGAAAAAGCTCTCTAGAGAGGGGTCCCAAATGGGTTGCCACTGAGGGTTTTTAGGGCCAGTCTTTTATTGTAAACTTGACAAGGCAGCTTGTGGCCTTGAGATTCTTGTGCTGTCTTGGTTTGAGCAAGGACTATTGATAACACCCTTAGTGACTTACTTCTTTGATGTCTGGTCATTTTCTGTGACCACACGGTAGCCGCCAAAGAAAATTACTCCCTAACATCCGGGGCCAGGTGGTCTGGTCTATTCCCTTATCTCTTGTTCACTCTGTCTCAGCACTTCTGCCTGCCAGGAAGAGTTTCAGAGCCCAGCCAGAGGCCCCTTACCTTCCCTGCCTATCCCTTAACCCTTTCCTTACTCATTCCTCCCTCTGGAATAGAATCCTTAACTGCCATTAGGGAACAGGACGTTAGGGGACAGGACGATGACC